GGCGTCGTCCCGGGCGCTCGGGTCCCCGCAGGTCCGCGTCCCCGCAGTCGCCACGCCGGCTGCAGACGAGCAGAGACAGAAACACGTGAGTCCCTTGCCAGCCCGGGACGCTGTCCTACTCGCCGTGATGGATTGCCACGAGCCCGGGACACACGCGGCCGTGCACGTTTGGCCCCCCACGGAATACCCAGCAGTCAAAAGCGCGTCCGAGCGGCGCGTCTGCTGGAGGTAGACCCGCATTCGGGGACGGGAAAGTCAGGTCTGGCACCAGCGCCCGGCGGATCGGTCGCCAACAATGCGCACAGACACGCGGGTGCGCTGCGATGCCAGCCCGCGTCCGCACACGCGGAACTCGCTGCCCGGCTACGGGAAAGCGAAAGAAGCCAGCTCTCCAGCTGTAGGGCCGACCGCAGAGCGCCGGGCACCGAGCTACAGCCAGCTCCGAAAACGTCCAGGTCCTTGAAAATCAAAAAGCACCATTCTCACCTGATCTCGCCAGGTCCTCGGAGAGAGGGCAGGCTCTTGCCTAGTGCAGAGCCTAGGGCCGGCCTTCCCGGCACATGCACGCCGCCCGCAGCCGCTCCTTAGCCCGCAGAGCTCTGGCTGCGGGGCCACCGCAAACTCCTGCGTGCTGAGCACTCGCGCGCGGGCTCCGCAGCATTTCAGCGTCGCCGCCACCTCCACCTCCACGCTGGGACCCGCCCCCGGTGATATCATGTGTCAATCACGCGGGCTGCGCGAAAACCCGGAGCAGGATTCTAGCGATCGTGGATGTGGACTCGAGGACATTAAAAAAAAAAAAAAAAAAAGTTGCCTGCGAGCGCAACTGGGCAGGAACAGAAGAAGTTCCAGGGCCCCTGTTAGTTCGTGAGCTGTCAACCTCCAATTTTAGGGAACCGGTGGATTCAGCCCTAAAAGATTAGTTTAAAGAGTTGTGAAGAACATTAAAAAGCAAACCAAACCAAAACAAACAAACGAAAAAACAAAAAAACCTTGTACACTACTCCACCGTGCCCCAGGAAGAGGGAAAATATGTGTGGATACAGAAAGATGGTCACGGCAAAGTTCAGAGCATATGAAATATGAAAGTTCCAGAGAGGACAGTCACTTTTGCAAATGCAATATAATGACACCACAGGGTGGGATTTCCTGCTATGGGATCTTAGTGATGGCTCCGTTTCGGTTTGTGATATGATCCCAAAAATTACATGAAAAAAAAATCCCAAGTTCTTCCTGTTTTGTAATATTTGTATAATTTTGTCAAAAACAACAACTTTTTAAAAAATCAAGTAAAATAAGCGTAACTCATGAAGAAGTTTTAATTTTAATCATATTTTGTCACAGGGTAGGGGAATGCTTTTTGCTGTTTTACAAACTGGGATTTTGGACATTTGTTATCGGAAGATGTAGCTCAGGATGCAGTGAAAAGAACTGTATGTGGAACTAAAAATTCCATAGAGGGTTTTTTAAAATAGCCTAAGACCCCAAAAATTGTTAATAGGAAATATTTTCCCAGGGAACTGTATCAGGAATAGTATTTGATAAACAACAAAACTCCAGGGTCTAAAACATCCATGAATGTGAGTTTAGCTATTTTGGGCTCAAAGTAATTTTTTAAAGCCTTAGCAATTAGCAGTGGGTTTTTAAAAACTGGGTTTGTTGTTGTTGTTGGTGGTGGTGGTGGTGGTGGTGGTGGTGTTTGCATATTTCATTTTCAAGAATTTAAGTGCTTTTAGAATTTACAGTTGTGTGTGTGGATGTGCATGTAAGAAATCCAGGACACTCCCTGCAAAGAGCACCATCAATAAGAAAGTCCACTAGAGGATAATAGAACATACTGGACGCCAAAAAGCTGTCTGTTCACCCTTCATACTAGGACATGTGTTAAAGTCATATTTTCAAGTGTAAAGTTGGTGGGGATTTTGTATCTTGTCTATTTTTCCACAGATGATCAATGTATTGAGGCTGGACAGCAGCAGGTCTGTTTCTTGTGGCTGGACTGGAAGGGTCAAGTCAGAAATACAGCGTCATACCAGAATGTTTTTATTCAGTTCTTCCCAGTTGTCTGCACAAATTTGGGAGAGAGGTCAGTTCACCAATGTGATAAAATAAGGACAGGGAGCAGGGAGCAGTTTTAATTACACAACACTTACAAAAATATAATTTCAAAGATTCCTATTAAAATACACTTCAGAGTATTTCAGCCAGAGATGTGCTAAAACAAATTTCCTAAGTTTAAAAAAAAAAATAATCCATGAAATGTTGTCGAGAACACTATCATCATGGGTCATGTTCTATTTCAAAATCAAATATGTTGCACAAAATTGGTTCTGCTTCTGTGCCTCCCCTGTGTGCCTTTCCCATGTCACATTCCTAGTGAGGATCAAAGTGGCCTTGCCGCCTTGAATCTGGAAGACATTTAATGAAGTCTGCTTCACTTTTTATTCCTGCAGTCATACAATTTGAGAGAAATTATAAATTTTTAGCTCGAAACAGACTTTGCTTTTTATTTAGTAAACTTAATTGCAGTGAGTTAGTCTAGGAATAAAAAACTGGTGTAGGAAACGTTTTTGAAAAAGAGGAGATAAGGGTCAGTGGGGAAATGGCGTAATTTTTAGTTCCCTGTATTAGGATCTGTCTAAATAGAGTCGGGTGGGAAGGGGGGCCCAGCTCGTTCTTCAGTGTCATGGGAAAACACAATTAGCCATCTCTTTTGTTGAAAGAGAATAAAGTGACAAACTCATCTGGCAAATGCTTCAGAAGTGCTGGTGACTTCAAAGAAATTAGAGTACTCAAAGACTTGTTGATTTATTTATTTGCCCAAATAAAAACATCAGAGCCATTGTGTGTGTGCGTCCAGGCTGACAAGCAATACCTTCTACATTTCCTAGTATTTAGTCAGAAGTTACGTTATTAATGGTGAAATTAACTGTATTATCATTCATAGCCTTGCATCCTGTTGAGAAACAAACTTGAAACCAAAACATCACAGAAGTTGACGCATTAGCGGACTCAAGTCCATTGATAAGGAGCCAGTAATGGGAATTTTCTTTCCTTTCCTTTTAGGGCAAAAATCACTATTACTGAGAGTTCTCAGAGAAGCTGCAAGGATGGGTCATGTTATTTTCAGCTTCCTTTTGTGAACAGCCTTTGTAGAAGACAGAAATAGACTAACCTAGTCTGTAAGATTTCCATAAACATCCCCCTCAATTTCAGTACATAGTTCTCACCCTCTAATACTCTGCCCGGTTTTAAATTCTGCCAGGGGGAGAGATGAAGTCCTGCAGTGAGTAAAGGACACCGAATGCTCTAGACTCTTGGCCCCACCGTGTCCTTGGTCTCCAGTGATTTGGCTCTTCTGAGCTAGAGCCTCTCTCTTTATGTGCAGGCTCATCCAAGTGACAAGTGTTCACCCAGACACGGCTCTCACGAGAGCCACCGTTCATACAGGAAGCGACTCTGCCTCAGTATAAAACAGGCGTTTCTTACCTAGCCAGCAGCACACAGAATCCTGATCCCTGGCCTGGCTCCCTCTTCGTTTTCTTAAGAAAGCAAAAGGAGCCATTTCTTCTGCTCTTCTGACTTGGAATGAGAAGCAAAGGGTCCTTAAAGTGGTGAATGTGTTTCTTCAATCCTGGTCAGCAACAGTCCTAATCTGAGCACTCCCACCACCTTCATCAGTACAGGAGGGAAACACCCCCACCACCTTCATCCCTACAGGAGGGGATCACTCCCACCACCTTCATCAGTACAGGAGGGGAGCACTCCCCACCACCTTCATCACCACAGGTGGGGAGCACTCCCCACCACCTTCATCATCACAGGTGGGGAGCACTCCCCATCACCTTCATCACTACAGGAGGGGAGCACTCCCCACCACCTTCATCACTACAGGAGGGGAGCACTCCCCACCACCTTCATCATCACAGATGGGGAGCACTCCTCACCACCTTCATCACCACAGATGGGGAGCACTCCACACCACCTTCATCATCACAGGAGGGGAGCACTCCCCACCACCTTCATCTGTCCCCACCACCTTCATCATCACAGAAGGGGAGCACTCCCCACCACCTTCATCATCACAGGTGGGCATAAGAGCCTCATCTGATTTAAACCTGAAATTGCACCCCTTCAAGACAGAACATTAAGAAAACCAAATTATCTTTTCATTAGAACAAATGACTTGACACATCTCCTAGGACTTGCCTACTTTAATGTTTGTTTCCTAATGAAACAACTGTCAGAAACCACAGTTTGTCCTGTATTTATGAAAAAGTAGCATATGGGAGGTCACTATAGGCAAAAGTCACAAGAAGATTAATAATGTATACTTAGTTTCTTTACTTTGTAATTGTCAGGGCATTTAAAGTAATCCCATTAACAACAACAGAACATTCAGATGATCACATACAAGCACATACCAAAGCCTAAGTTTTGACTGTATCCTCCTTCTGCTCCATGGTCTCACATCTCAGGTGTGTTCTGTCTACCCATAGGCCCTCTGTCCAGTATTTAGGCAGGTAGGAAGAATATTGTGTCCTGAAGCAAGCCAGATGGAAGATCCAGCTGGTAGAAGTCCCAACTCTGCCACACGTAGCTAAGTGATCTTTGGTTTCTCCTGAAGCTAATAAAAACACTGTGGACTAATGATGCCCTGATGCTCCAGATGGAGTCAAACATATACAAATGCTTTGCGAGCTGGGAAAAACCTGTATAAATAATTGGTTGGTGTTGTATCAACATACTGTATAATGAAGAAATGTGAAGAGCCCCCTTCTCTGGAGTTTCATTCCTAAATAATAAGCTTAATTTGCCTCATAACTTATTTCAGGGCAGTTGGGTTTCATTTTTGTTCTAAGACAAACTTTTAGGTTTGACCGATTGCTTTGCTATATTTACATCTCTGTGTGTATATGTCCACATGTACACATGCGTATCTTGACTGGGATTTTGTGACAGTTGTCTATTAAAATTAGGTTAAGACATGTAACTTTGACATTTATCTGGAGGCTTTTAGAGATTTAACTTTTACTTCCAGTTAAGACAATGAACATTATAAACATTAAAAATCATCCCAGGGGCTGAAAAGACAGCTCAGTGGTTATGAGTGTTGGCTCTTCTTCCAGAGGACCCAGGTTTGGTTCCCAGCACCCACGTTAAGTGGTTCACAACCTCTATAACTCCATCTCCAGGAGATCTGAAGCCCCTGGCCTCCCTGGGTACCTGCACTAATGTACAAACACCTCACATAGAAAAATACACATAAGCGTATGATTTAAAAATAGAAATAGAAAAATTTAAACCCTTACTATAAAATTTTCAGCTCTTATATTATTAAGAGTATAAAAAACAAATAAATACCTTAAAAACAAGTTGAAAAGCTGTAAAAGTTGAAAATACAAAAAATTTGAAAAGCCTGAAGGAGTTTCTGCTTGTTGTCATAGTTTGCTGTGGACTTTTCCAGCCTCTTAGAATGTTAGTTTTGGTCCTCCGTAACAAACATCAGGGTCAGCAGTAGATACAGTCCATCAATTAGGGAAGTATTTTGGAATCCTGAGTTTTTGTGCTGATTTTGAAAACCGAAAGCAAAGGTCAGTGGGCGGTACACTTCAGTGAACAAAGACTCCTTGAAGCGCCACCTATTGTTGGAAACAAGTCATTTCAAATTTCAGTGAGGACGGAAGGCTGGGCTTGGA